ATGGAGCCATTTGGTGTTAGCCAGCTGACCGAGGTCACGGAATTCGTCCGACATTTGAGCTCTGCCGCCATTCCTTCAGTCAAATTGAGGTCGGCAGGTGGCTCAATGATAACAGGCGCGTAGCACTGAAAGTAGCTCTGGTCTAGCTCACCGATGTAGCGCCCCTTGAGGCTGGGAGGGGAATTGCAGCGGGCGCAGCAGCTGGTGTTCGTAGGTACGGTCTCTCTCAGCCACCAGCTCAGCCAAAGAATGTCACAGTTGCAGTTCCAGGGATTGTGATGCAAATGCACTCGCTGCAGGTGGTGTAAAGGCGTGAAGAGATCATGGGGCAAAAAGGTAAGGTTGTTGTGAGCCAGGTTGAGCTCTTGTAAAGAATGCAGGTCATCAAAGGAGTTCCGCTCTATGGTTTGGACTTGGGCGTGCATCATCCACAGCTTCTGAAGATGAACGAGACCCTTAAAAGAACTGGGCTGAATGACGGTGAGCTGGTTCCCAGACATCTCCAGCTCATCCAAGCGAATCAAGGGCTGAATATTGGGGACCTCTTTGAGGTTACACATGCCCAGATTCAGGTACCGAAGGTTACTTAAGCCCTGAAATGCTCCACTCGAAATGTAGGAGAGACGCTTCAGCTCTCCCAAGTCCAACCGCCGCAGGGAGGGCAAGCGACTGAAGGCATCAGACGGTATGCTCTCAATAGGGTTATTCCTAAGCCACAGCTCTTTCAGTTTTGATAGATACTCAAAGGCGCCATTTGGGATGGTCGTGAGACGATTGTCAAAAAGCTCCAGAGTGTTAAGGCTGGTCAGCCCATTGAAGGCGCCAATCTCAATGTTGCGGATGTGGTTTCTGCTAAGCTGAAGAATCTCAAGGTGTCGTAGATGCTTGAAACTGTCTACTTTGATGACCTGGATCTGATTGTCCTGAAGGTTTAGATACCGTGTATTAGTGGAGATGCCATCAGGGACATCCTTTAGCCCTCTGCGTGTGCAGATGACCTTACTAAATTGATTACTGCAGGAACATACGGAAGGACAAGTTTGAGCTCGTACCAATCCAGCGACAACAAGCAACTGCAGGGCTAAAAGCAGGAGAAACAGGGGGTCAAACCAAGCCCTGTTCCATTTAGGACCTCTCAACATCTGGCGCTGATGGTAAGAGGTCATCTTGTTCAACATTCATAATTTAATGCCCGCTGATTTTCTCTTCCCAAAAATGTATTGGCAGTCTGAAAAAGAGGAAAGAGGAAAACAAATCTGTTAGCAAAGTATGTCATGTTGAATTGTCAGCGTAGCATGATGGCAGTCAAACAGAGCATCAAATTCTGCTGATGCTATTTATCAAGAAGAACATTCTTCTGTCAAATGGAAAGGCATGTACATTTCTGATATTCTGATGATGTTAAAGAAAAACAAGTATTGATGTTAAGGCACTGCACGTGCAAAATAGAGTTTTCCAATGTGATTGATGAATTGAGCATCATCACTGTCACAGCTGTTAAATGAGCCTGCACACAGAAGCCATTTCTTGATTTCTTTTTGTTTTTGCACTGTATATAGCAGACCTGAGCTTAGTCAAGTAGTTCACTTTGACCTAACTATTTTCTGTCCCCACTTTCAAGACTTCCTGCATTTAACACAGGGGGAAAAAACTAAAAGTGAAAGTAAAAGTTTTAAAAGTGAATAATAGTGTCAGTTTATTAGGAACATAATTTTCAAAGGAAAAACTAGCCACACCCAGTAAAGAAAAAAGTATGAGTGATGTTATTGTAATGCTTAAAAACATGATATTTTTTGTACATTTGTTTCATTATAATTATTAAGAGCCTTGAATGTGACATTTCCTAAACCACTCCTGAATCTTTTATGCTATGCACTAAAATGAGATATATGGGAACCCTGTCACAGCAAGCTGTCAGAGGGATGGATTAAGCTGCAGACAGGCCCATCAATAAGGATATCTAGGAGATAAGGATGTGTATTTGGCTTGTATATTCCACGCTATGTGCTTGCACATGCTATGGAGATACATAGCAACCAAATTGTCAAAACCCACAAGAAATGTGCAACTGCTACAGCACACACTAAATTTAAAATCCCTTCACCCTGCAAATCTATGCTCTCATTACATGCTCAAGTGTTCTTATGAAAAATAAGATGGCTTATTACCTACACTGTTTGCAAATAGGTTACTATAATCAGTATTGTTATACATAATGAGAGGCAAATAAAAGGAGAGGTATGTTCAGGACCCCTGAAACTCGCTTTGACAAGCTAAATTGAATTTCAGTATATTATGAAGTGAAGCAATTGAGTATCCTGAAATACATAGAAATGCTTCCATTTATTAGATCAAGCAAACTATGTTTTAATTACAGAATAGAATCTCTTTACACAGTAGGAAATGAAATAAAGTATGAGACAGAGAGCTTTCCGATCAGCATGGCAACAGGCGCTGTGGATTGAAGTCACATGACACCAATAATAACAACAACCTCAATGCATGAGTGGGTTGCATGTTGGTTGATATACAGTATTATACAGTAAAAAAAAAATGTTGCAGATAATTGTGAACGACTTTTGTCAGTATTAGATTAGTCTGTTCTTAGACTGCTAGAAGCAGTCTGAATTCCAGTTTGGAAACATCACATGCTTTGTAAGTGATGATCAAGTCTAAATAGTTCTGTCCTTCACATATCTCAGTCTCCTTAGAATAAAATTAATGATTCAATTTGAATTATTTGTATTTCTTTTCTGTCATATGCTATTATACTATGAAATGTCTCAGATGGTCTCACTGTGCATCTGTGCTGCTGATCATCTTATAAAAATGGTTAAAACTTAGGACAGATTTATTTAGTTACAGTGAGACGCTAATCTCACTGGTAGGCAATGAATGTTAGTTAGCAGCAGCATAATTGACACCTTACTGTGAGAAGATTCCAGTGGACACACATTTAATGGGATGCATAAGGTAATCAGGGCATGTCCTGGCAGGAGCCTCTTTTTCATTACCAAAAATAACCAAGGAATTTACAGAGGAAGCACACAAATCTCTCAGGTATTGATTGAATGATTAGCTCAAGGCCTGCATCAAAAATGGGAGACACAAGAATTACTCTAAAATGTAATTTTTTTTAAATCTCATTAATTACATAATAGCAATCCACACATCATCCTATGCACAAGTATAAAACAGTAAGTTTTAGGCAGTAACTAAGTTTTCTGACACACACTTAAAGGTGCAATAGGTGATTGTCTTCAGAAACATTTTTTGTTATGCTGGTTGAAAGTCTCTTCACATCCCGATAGCAATCATTAAGTTAAGTGGTCTAAATGTATTTATATATTCTGTGGAAGGCATAGGACCAAGAAATGTTCGTCCAATCAAAATGCTCGCTCCGAGTGTTTTAGTTGGCTTTCCTATCTGCCTGTCAACATATGTATTTGTACCCTGTTCGCGCAGACAGGATACGTCATCAGTACGTTCACGCACGCTGTACAGACAGAGCGAGAATGGCAGACAAACATCAACAACCTGACCTTCATCCTGATATTGTAGTACTTTTACTAACTGTACTATAAAGTTTTCTCACCGGTTAATAACACATGATGTATTGTAGTAATGTTGTCTCTGGTCGTCTGGTCTGTGTGTGTGTTCATGCGCTCAGGGGGTGTGGCATTCGACGGCAATTGCCGGGAGGGTGGGACGTTCGCTTTCAGTGCTATCAGGCTAAAGTTAGCATTTTCCAAGATCTCCTACTGCACCTTTAAGATGACATTTTCACAATTGTCACATTCAAACTTATATGTATTCGACATATTTCAAACTAGTCTCTATCTGTCTCATTGTGGCCTCATTATACACTCAGAAAAAAAGGTACAAAATTGTTACTGGGGACATACCCTTTCAAATGGTACTAATATGTACACTGTAGGTAGTAATTTGAACCATTTAGAGGTAAATCATTTTTAAAGTACTAACATACCTTATTGAGAGTGTATGTTGTTATATACTTAGTATTTTTAGCAGAAGTTATATCATTAAGATATAACTATGCTGCAGGGAAAAATTAAAAGAATTTGATGATATTTGCATAATATTCTTTGAAAACTGCAGCCATTTCCTATAGGAATCAATACTTTTTTAATCACAAGCAATAACAGCATTTTAAAGGGGTCATATGATGCGATTTCAAGTTTTCCTTTCTCTTTGGAGTGTTACAAGCTGATTGTGCATAGACAAGATCCCTGAAGTTGCAAAGACTAAAGTCTCAAAACCAAAGAGATATTCTTTATCAAAGTTAAGACTCTGCCACGACCCCCTAAAACGGCTCGCTCTAACACGCCCCCACATATCAACTTCACTATGTGGAAATATTTGCATAATGCCGCCCAAATGTTCACGCAAAGAAAGGCGGCGTGGTTTCAGTAACCGCAGTTAGTGTTGAAGCAGACATGTCAGGGAGACGCTGTGTGTTTC